AGCTGTCTGCAGGAGAAGGTAGATATCTCCACTCAGCAGCTCCAGTGTGACGCCCGGAGAGCCCCATGGGCACAAAGGGAGCCTTGTCCCGGCTGTGATAAACCCGGCCAGGATTCCTCTGCAGATCCGATGGCACCGGGCTCTGCCTGCAGGATCGATGTCCCGAGCCCTTCCCGGTCCCAGACTATTTTACATTCACACAAAAACGGTTCTGTCCTTGGCCTGCTGCCTGTCACCCTGCCCGGGTCTGTCCTCTGGTGTGATGGTGTTCACAGGGGTCCCAGGATGAGGGAAGAGATGAGAATGTTGACTCCATGTTTCAGAAGGTTTGATTTATTATTTATTTTATTTATTTCGATTTATATATTACATTAAAACTATACTAAAAAAATAGAAGAAAGGATTTCATCAGAAAGCTGGCTGAGAATAGAAAAAGAAATGATAACAAAGGTTTGTGACTGAGATAGTCCAGACAGCTGGGCTGTGATTGGACATTAATTAGAAACAACCCCATGAGACCAATCCCAGATGCACCTGTTGCATTCCACAGCAGCAGATAATCAATGTTTACATTTTGTTCCTGAGGCCTCTCAGCTTCTCAGGAGAAAAATCCTAAAGAAGGACTTTTCAGAAAATATCATAGCTACACCTGGGTTTGGGGGTGTCCCCTGCCCGCCCTGGGGCTGGCGGAGCTGTCACCCCTGAGCTGCTCTGGGTTTGTCCCCAGCCCCATCCCGGTGCCTGGAGGAGTCACTTTGCCCTGCAGAAAGCTCTCAGCCATGTCCCCTCTCTGGCACAAACCCCTGCCTTTCACTCCTTTTGGCTGGGCTTTTTGGTCAGGGCTCGGTTTGTAAAAATAGTGATGGAGAGGGGATTTTTTTACCCCCCTTTTTGGTCATTTTGGGGTTTTGGGCTCTCGCAGCTCAGGCAGGACCTGTGTCCATGTGGAAATTCCTCCCTGGCAGAGCCTGTGCTGCTCTCCTGCTTTGGGCTGGGATGGAGTTAATTTAACTGCTGGAGCTGCCCTGGGTGATAACTCAGCGATGCTTTGGGCTGGAGACTCGTTTATCTCCTGAGAGTGCATCCCCGTCGGTGCTGGGAGGAGTTCTGCTCCAAAAATCATCAGGAATCGTGAAGCAATTAACTCTGGAAAGTTCTGTTGGCCCGGTTTTTGAAGTCTGCTTTGATTCCCTGCCTGCTGCGGCTGTTAATCACTATTTAATGCAGCTCTCTGCATTTTTATCATCATTTTATCTGCTGTAATTTATTGTGTGCTACCTTAACCGAGGAAGCATTTTCATGTGTTGAATGTCTCTGTGCAGGAAACCCCTGCTCCGATGCCTCTCAAGTGCCAGTTTTATTAATTAAAAACAAACATTTATCACTTAACAGAGAGGCAAAAGGGGTTTTATCCCTCCTCCTGGGCACATACACTCTGGAAATCCCAATTCCTTCCAAGGCTCCCCATTGCCGTGTCCGGTACCTGCAGGCACTGCTTGGAATTCCCAGGGTGCTCTCTGAGGGTCAGGAAGAATTAACTGTAAATTCAATTAACTGTTAATTCAATTCCTAATGTTTGGGTTAAAGCGGAGCCCAGCAAAGCCGGCTCTGCTCTTTGCCGGTTTGAGCCGGAGCTGGGTATTATCAATAATTAACTGTGCTCATTTAGGGGAAGTATTGGGGCGTTAATGAAACTGTGAAATGTTTAATTGTTGTGCCAGGAGCTGGGGCTGCTGAGGAAGAGGAGGAGTGGCACAATTAATGGCTGTTCCCGAGGGGATCCCGGGATGTCCCTGGGATGGGGAAATTCAGGGATGGAGGTCCCCGCACCCATCAGAGCCATAGGAACCGCTGGGAGACCCCTCCCAACCCTGGTTTTCATTAAAACTTCTGTTAATTACCTTGTAATTAGGCTGTGGGTGGTGTGGATGGCCCTGGGAGGCTCAGCCTGGCTGGGATGTCCCTGTGCAGGACAGGGAGGGATAAGAGGGGTTAGGGAGAGATAAAGAGGGGTTTTCCAGAGGGGCTGTGCCTGCCCCATCCCTGGAAGGGTCCAGGGCCAGGCTGGGTCGGCTGAGGATGAGGATGGAGCCGTTCAGAAATGGCAGGGACACACAGAATGGATGCCCCAGGAAGGTGCCAGGAGAAGCTGGTGGAGCAGCCTGGAAAGCCCTGTGGCATTTCCTGAATAGAATTAAAGTTCAGGATGCTCGCCTGGCCAGGAAGCCCCACAGGAGGGTGGTGGAGCTGTGCTGTGCTTCCAGTGAATCCCAATCCCCATCCCGTGGGTTTTCCTGGGCTCTGGGACAGGGATGGGTGAAATCCCTGCTGGGAAGGCGATTCCCAGCAGGAGCTGTGTGAGTCAGCCTCTGGTGAGTGCAGTTATTTGGGGAAAAACCGCTGGAAATGATGGGAAAAGCAGCTGTGGCTGCCCTGGAATCCATGGGCACCCACTGGTGCCAAACAGGGGCTGTGCTGCCAGGTGAGGGTACCAAGGACAGGAAATGCCTCCAAAAATGCCGGTACTGTGCAAAAATTAAAATAAAAGTGGTGAACAGGGGGAAAGCCACAAATGGGTTCTGCTCTTGCTTGGGGGAGGGAGCTGTGCAGGCCCAGCATCGCTCACAAATGCTTTTAATAAAATGTTCTTTCCTGAGTCCAGGGGAAAAATCCCGGAAACCTCAAGCTTTCCCCATGACATAAGGAGCAGATGCTGCTGGGCACAGCCCTGTCCCTGTCCCCAGCTCCCTGCCAGGCACAGCCCCAGCACTGGGATGCAATTCCCAGAGAATCCCCGGCTCTCCCTGGCAGTGCCCAGGGCCAGGACGGGGCTTGGGGCACCCGGGGACAGCAGAGGGTGTCCCTGCCCTGGCAGGGGTGGCATCTGTGAGCTCCCTTCCTGTTGGGGGAGATGAAAGAGGAAAGCCTTATAAATATGATTGCCTGGCAAAAGATGTTGAGAATATGCAAACTATAAGTGAGATTGAAATGAAAGCAAGCTCTGAGATCCCTCAGTTACTGAACAACTGGAAAACAATGGTGTGGCCAGCTGAAGGTGATCCCCTTTTGATGGAACAACACCCTCAGCTTGCAGACAGGCCCAAGGCTCAGAGCAGACCCTACAGCTTGGTAGAAGGGTCCAAAGAGGAGTTTTTAGGGTTTAAAATGTAACACAGTGTGGTAATGCAGTGATTCTTATAGGCTGTATGTAAATGCTGTAGGATTTGTATCTTGTACTGGATTGGTTAGTGAGAATCAGAATATTCAGCACAGAAGAAGATTTATTGTATTGGAACGGGAACTTGGCTGTCTTAGCTCTTGCCTCTTAGCTCTTACTTTTCTATGCTCTTACCCCTTTTACTCTCTTATGCTTTTACTCTCTCACTCTCTCATCCTCTCTCCCCCTCTCCTCTGGGGCCTGCTCTGAGCTGTGGCAGCTCCCAGCAGGGCCCTGCACCCAGGCCCTTTGCAATAAACCCCAAATCCCAGCAGGGCCCTGCACCCAGGCCCTTTGCAATAAACCCAAAATTCCCAAAGGCCCCTGCACCCAGGCCCTTTGCAATAAACCCCAAGTTCCATGACCAGAAGAAGATTTATTGCAATGTAACGGGAACCTCACTTTTTCTTTACCACTCTCTTTACCTCTCTTTCTCTCTCTCGGGCCTGCTCTGAGCTGTGGCAGATCCCAGCAGGGCCCTGCACCCAGGCCCTTTGCCATAAACCCCAAATTCCTGACCAGGCTGCAGAGATCTCTCGTGTCCGTCCATCCCCACCGTCCTACCCCCGATATTCCTACACCTTCCCAAACATTCCAGGATTTTGTGGGGGGCAGCGGGGCAGGTGCCTGTGCTGGTGGCAGGGAGGACCCGCTCTGTCACACGGGGTGACACGGCTGGGTAATTTCTGCGGCAATTAATGCCTCATTAAAGTGCACGAGGGAACAATCAGAGCAGTGAATTTTACCCAGCACAATGGCTGGGCCCTCAGGGGTTTTTTTCTGCCTTTCTTTTGAAAAGGAAACAGTCTTTTTCTGGCTTTAACTGCTCCCTCTCTGGAGGCAGAGGAGGAGGAGGAGGGAGCCTTGGTGGGCACCTCCGTTCCCAGCTGGTGCTTGGGCATCACCTCCGTGATGGGATTTCCCGGGATTTTCCTCTGCAATCCCACGGGGACATGAAATCTGACTGGAGGCAGGGATGAACACCAGCCCGGTCCCAAAATGTTCGTGCTGAGATGGAGCTGGGAGCAGGCAGGAGAAGGGCAGGAGGGATTTGCAGGGCTGGGAAGGGATTCCAAGGGGGAGCAGCAGCCTGCAGGTGCCCTGTGGATGCTGCTGGTGGGACAGGGGGACAGGGAGCTTCTTCCTAGGGACACTGGAGGGGACAAAGGGAATGCTGAGATGGGCAGAGAGCCTGGAGCTCAGGGAGCTCCTAGGAAGGGTTTGAAGATGCGAAATGACCAGAGGGGTGTGACAAGGTGGGGCAGGAGGGAAGAGGAGATGAGGCTGTGGCTGGGTGTGGAAGTTTGCAGGCAGTCCCAACATGGGAAGAGATAAGAATCTGACTCCATGATTCAGGAGGCTGATTTATTATTTTATGATATATATATTATATTTAAAAGTAAACGATATATTAAAACTATACTAAAAGAATAGAAGAAAATGATTTAATCAGAAAGCTTGCAAGGAAAAGAATAGGAATGGAATCATAACAAAAGTTTGTGTTTGTCTGAGACAGCTGGGCTGTGATTGGCCATTAATTACAAACAACCCCATGAGACCAATCACAGATGCACCTGTTGCATTCCACAGCAGCAGATAACCATTGTTTACATTTCATTTCTGAGGCTTCTCAGGAGAAAAAATCCTGGCAAAGGGATTTTTCAGAAAATATCACGGCCATAGCCGGGAAGCCCCTGAGCATTTCTGGGTTTTGGGGTTGCTCCCACCCATTGTCCCATCAGGTGGGAGCAGCTGAGCCCTGACCGTGTCTGTCTGTCCTCAGGAGCCTGATGCCACGGACCCTGGATGGCCAGATCACCATGGAGAAGACTCCCAGCTACTTTGTGACCAAGGAGGCGCCGCGGCGCATCCACAACATGTCCCGGGACACGAAGCTGATCGTGGTGGTGCGCGACCCCGTCACCCGCGCCATCTCGGACTACACGCAGACCCTGTCCAAAAACCCCTCCATCCCCAGCTTCCAGGCCCTGGCCTTCAAAAACCTCAGTACGGGACTGATAGACACCAGCTGGAGCGCGGTGCGGATCGGCATCTACGCCAAGCACCTGGAGAACTGGCTGCAGTTCTTCCCCCTCTCCAGGTTCCTGTTCGTCAGCGGGGAGAGGCTGGTCAGCGACCCCGCCGGGGAGATGGGCCGTGTCCAGGACTTCCTGGGGCTCCAGAGGCTGGTGACAGACAGACATTTCTACTTTAACGAGACCAAGGGCTTTCCCTGCCTGAAGAAGCCCGAGGGGGGGAGCAGACCCCGGTGCCTGGGCAAGTCCAAGGGGCGGCCGCACCCCACCATCGACGGGCAGGTGGTGCAGCGCCTGCGCGAGTTCTACAGACCCTTCAACATGAAGTTCTACCAGATGACAGGGCAGGATTTTGGGTGGGACTGAGCCCATGCCCAGGGCACGCTGCCGGGCTGGCACCTGGGCTGCCAGGACTGCGGTCCAGGGATGTCTGTGGTCATCATTGTCCAGGGATGCCTGTGGTCACTGTGATCCAGGGATGTCTGTGGTCATTGTGGTCTGGGGATGCCTGTGGTCATCATTGTCCAGGGATGTCCATGGTTACTGTGGTCCAGGGATGCCCGTGGTCATTGTGGTCAAATGATGCCTGTGGTTATCATTGTCCAGGGATGCCCATGGTCATCATAGCCCAGGGATGCCTGTGGTCAATGGATGCCCATGGTCATTGTCCAGAGATGCCTGTGGTCATCATGGTCCAAGAATGCCTGTGGCCATCATGGTCCAGGGATGCCCATGGTCACTATACTCAAGGGATGCCTGTGGTCATCATGGCCCAGGGATGCCCATGGTCACTATACTCAAGGGATGCCTGTGGTCATCATGGCCCAGGGATGCCCATGGTCACTGTGGTCAAGGGATGCCCGTGGCCACCCCACCAGCACCCTCCTCCCTTTGTTCTAATTTATATGGGACCTTTTCTGGCAAGAAACGGACTTTTCTGGAGTAGAGAGAAATATTTAATAAAACCTCAGATGAGCCCTCTCCCCTCCCTGAGCAGATTAAATATTCTTCCATATAAACCTTGCTGATCTCCATTAACTGGGAGCGTTCTGGGTGGGACTGTGGGTTTGTGTGCACGGGGATCGTGGTTCCATCCAGAGTGAAACCTTTGCAAACCTCTGGGACACAGCTGAGGGTTCTGGGGGTCACACAGTCCCTGGTGGCCAGGGGAGGGCTGGGCAGCAAACCCCAACCCTGGGAGATGTTTTGGAGATGGAGAAGAGTCTGCAGGAATTTCCCAGCTGAGCAAAACAAGGAACAGCAGCAGTTCTGAATAAATGCCAGGTCCTGGCTTAGGGAGAGGGAGCTCTGGATCACCTGCCCATGTTCCTGGAGTGGCCCACTGATAGGGCAGGGCCTTTCTAAGCCTTAGCAGGAAAATTCCAGCTTCTCCACAATTCACCCGGCTCTGCCCTTTCAGTTCAATAATCTCAATAGTTTTTCAAACCTGCAGCCATCGAGGGTCATCACGGGAGGCTGCAGAAATTACTTTAATCTCTACTAACTAGTTTTCTCTTAATTAAAGATGGGGAAAACATTTAATTAACCTCTATGATCTTATTAGTGACTTGTATTTGTCTCTTTAATGAGGTAATTATGAGTTTTGGAGGGCCCTCAGGCCCTGCATTACTTGCAGATCAGCTTTGGCTGTGGTTCCTTCCATCATGCAGCATCCCAAAGCTGCTGAGGTGCCTCCTCTCGCTGCTGCTGCTGCCTGGGCAGGAGGAGGGAGCAGGTCCCACTTCTGGCATGTGCAAGGGGCCTCATCCCTTCTCCTCCCAGCTCCGGGGTGGTTTCACACCCACACCTGCAGTTTCATCCCACACAGCTCTCCCTGTCCCAGGTCCTGGCACCTCCCTCGTGTCCCTGGGGGTGAGCTTTGTGTCCTGCCCCGTGCTCCAGGTGCAGGTGAGGTTGGGCACGTTCCTGTTCATTCCCAGGACAAGTGACACCTGCTGAAAGTGATGCTGGAGGGAAAAGCAAACCAGTTTCTGTGTGGATTGGGCCATCGAGGTGGTGACAGTCCCCAGGGCTTTGTCACTGGGGTAAAACAGGATACTACCAAGGCACAGTGAGAGGAGATGGTTGAAATCCCAAAGTCCTGGAGTGATGCAGCTGTTCTGGGGTGGGCTCAGCACCCCCTGTCCTGGCTGTGACCCCCAGCCCTGTCCCTCCAGGCTGCGTCCCTCCTGTCTGTGACCCCAGGCCATCAATGTCCCCCCCCAGGCCGTGTCCCCAGGCTGTGACCCCCGGCCGTGTCCCCTCCAGGGCGGGATGTCGCAGCGGCTGGATCCCCTTGTCAGCCTGGCTGGCAGCTCCGCATGATGGACTGCGCTCTGCTTGTTTAGGTTTTGTTTCCAGCGACGACATTCGACCAAATTATTCTCCGCGAAGGGCTTTAAAGTTTCCCAAGTGCCTGTGAAAGGCTGGAAGCGCTGATAGTGATCCTATTTCCCAGCTGAGTGACTGCATTCAGCCCCGGCCCTATTGATATGCAAAACCTTAAGGGTCCCGGCTCTAAAGATGGTTTCTGTCTGCCCTGTGAAAGGGAACCATACTTTTTTAAAGCCCGGCCCTTTCTAAAGCCGCACAATACCATATAGACTATGCCATTTGAAGCATCTGAAGCGACCCAAAATGTATTGAAAGCTCGCTTTGGAGACTCATTAAGACTACTCAATGCGCTCTGGCAAATACCGTGCCAGGGCTGACCGCACGGATTAAGACTTTTGAAGTGTTACACAAACCCCCTGCTTAAACTAATTGCTGCCCCGCAGCTCTCGAGGTCAAGTATTTGTATTCATTGCCTCCGAGAGGAGCCACTTATGGCTCTGTCCAGGTGAAGTCTGCACTTCATTAGATCAAGACAATGAAAGCAGCTTTGGTAGGAAGGGGATGAAATCTCCCCGGCTCCTGCTCCGAGCCCAGCGCGGGTTTAAGTCCACCTCGGCGGAGTTTGTGGTGCTTTCAGGATGTGCTTCCAAAAAAAGTGTGTCATTGGGGATGGTGACAGCAGCCCTGTCCCACTTGTGCCGTCCTGGAGAGTTCTGCTTGAGCAGAGACTCCTTGGAATTCCCAGTGCTCAGCGGGACACTTCATTCTCCAGGGTCATGGAATCCTGGTTTGGGTTGGAAGGACCCTAAATCCCATCCATGCTACCCCTGCCATGGCAGGGACACCTCCCACTGTCCCAGCTGCTCCAAGCCCTGTCCAGCCTGGCCTGGGACACTCCAGGGATGCAGGGGCAGCCACAGCTCATCCAGGAGGAATTGCTGTGAAACTCCCACAGAGGCTCAGAGACGTGGCGCTGCTGGATCTCCCTGCTCAAAACCTCTGGGAATAAAGTGTTTTATAAAGTTACAACGAGAGGATGCTGAGCTGTGCTGGTGTTTTTGGGACACAGGGAGCTGCTTGCTCAGGGGATGGTGGCAAACACCCCGTGCTGGTGGAGCTGGAAAATGTCCCAGGTTAATTGGGGCAGTGCCAGAACAAGAGGATGATGAAGATCCAGCTTTGCAGCCAAGTATGAAGTGAAGTTTTCATCCCCGTCTCAGTTAACCAGAGTTTCCATTTCTAGACCCAATTTTGTTTTGAAAATCCAGCTATCCAAAGTTTTGTGGTTCCTGAGCTCTGGGCCTCCCTCTCCATTCCACTCCATAAGCCAGGAAGAGCAAGGCTGGAAGAGCTTTCCAAAATTTTTTATTTACTCCTTTTTCTGTTATACCAGATTTAGGAGGACAGAAGGGAAAGAACAAAAATAGGGAAGAAAGAAAAAAAAAAAAAACTCCAAAAGCAAGAAGTTCAAACTTCCCTGCTTTTGCGTGGGTCTGGAGATGAGGAGAGCAGCAGGGCTGAGTTTCAGTCCCACATTTCATCTGGAATGTTTGTAACCTGTGACAGGGAAATCATGATCCTGCCTGGAAATGCCCATCAATCCCCATTTCCTGCTGGCACACCTGTGCCAGCCCACACTCCCCAGGTGAGGCTGGTGCTGCCAGGCACCTGGGGGCTATAAAAGCTGGGAGGAGGCACCAGAGCCTCCCCCAAGGTGCAGAGGCTGTCCCGGCCCAGGGAGCAGGAGCTGGCACTGCCTGGTGAGTGGGGGCTGTGCCAGGGCTGTTGGGCATCCTCCCTGCTGGTTTGGGGGGCTGCAGCAGTGTGGTTGTGTGCAGCCATAGTGCAAATGTCAAATTTGTGCTCTGATTTGAGCAAGGCATTGCCTCACTTAATCAATTTATATCAGATAAAGGAATAAATGGATGCTTTTCTGGCAGGATTCCTTTGGAGGAGGTGAGCTCCAGGCCCTGACTGTGACCCCCTCATGGCTGTGGGGTGGATGGGGCATTGCCAGGGAATGGGCACACATGGAATGGGCAGGAGGAGGGGATGGCTGGAGCCTTTGGGGCTGGCTCATGGTGGTGCCACAGCTGGTGTTGGAGGAGAGACTGGAGCTGAAAGGGCTGATCCAGCCCCATTTTCCCCAGTTTATGTGGCTGGGAATGCTGGTGTAGATCACTAAGCAGTGATGGGAAGGATCAGGCTGGCACAGCAGCTCTGTGCCAGCACTGCCATCCAGGCTGGCAGCCACGCCTGCAAATCCACAGCGAGGGAATGAGGGAATTCCCCCCCTTTTTTTCCCTTTTACTCTGAGTTTAAACTTCCATCCGATGGCTGATTGCTGCAGACCCCCCCTGGCAGCCCCAGCACGCTGCTGGCAGATGCCAGAGGGAAGGAAAGCGTGAGGGATGGAGGGCAGCAGGAGAGAGGCCGGGAAACTGGGAAACACTCCTGGTGGGGATGGGAGAGGGGCCTGTGCAACAGCCAGCCTTTAATTAAGGGTCTTTAAAGAGCTTTCCCAGCTGGTTAACATTGCCTTGCCATATTGGAGTGGTTTAGAAGCAATGCTCCTCTGGAGTGGCTCCCTTCCTGTCAGCCCTGTGTGTGTCAGATGGGTCCTGGTCCCTCAGCCCTCTGCAAAAAATGGGGCTGAGAAAAACGGGTCCATGCCTGGCTGGAGAGGACAGGGAGAGCTCTCCACTCTCCCAGGGAGAAGCTGTATTTTCTGTGCTGGTTGCTGCACTCAAATGTCTTGAAAGCAGCTCAGCAATCGCTGGATTGAGGATGCCTGAGCCAGCCCTGTGGTGGAGATTGGAGACAGGAGCCAGCCCTGAGGGCAAAGCTCCACCAAAGCTCTGGAGTGCAGGAGCCCAGTGTGGCAGCTGTGGGATCTGGGGGTACCACGGGGCACCCTGACCTCCCTGGAGCTGGTGCCCCTGTCCTGCTTCTCCTGCTGCAGTGAGTTCTGGAGTGACAGCATCACCCTCCTGCCAGCTGGGACAGGCTCTGCTGTGCACATAAACCTGCTGGAACTTCCTGGGCACTTA